TAAAAAGAATATAGAAAATGTCTGCATCGATGTGGCATGAAAGGTCATTGGTCACATACCTATCGTACGCCAAAACATCTTGTTGAACTTTATCAAGCATTACTGAAAGATAAAGGAAAAAATATTGAAATAAATTTTGTTGAAAATATGGCCAAGTTGATATAACACACTTGAATGTTACTAATTTTTTTGCTCATCCTAAAAGACGAATTGATCATTTAATTGGTGATTAAAATCCCAATAATGAAATTTCTTAAATTGTTTGCTGATGTATTTTAGTATAACTTTATTAAGAACTTGTCATGTTTTAGTATAACTCTAAAAAGTTGATGTGTTTTAGTATGTCTATTAGGAAATTTTTTTAAAATAATAAAGTTTATATTTAATGTTCTTCTATGTCAACTTGTAAATTTCTTATTATATTAGGGTTTATTTTCTTGAAGAAAATATAGATATTCATCTGGTTGGATCCAAATTCAATAATGAAGATATATGTCTAATAAATAGTGTTACAATGCACACTATATTTAAAAATAAGAAATATTTTTTTCACTTGACAATGGAAGAAGCTAATGTCAATATAATATATGGTAATATAAGATTAATTGAAGGCTCTAGAAGAGCCAATATTTTACTACTCGGAGGAGTAAAGTTTATAATAAAATATGCATTATTTTCTACTAAGTCTCAATGAAATTTATTAAGTTTTAAAGACATTCATCTGAATGGATATCATATTGAGACAATGAATGAAAGATACATTGAATATCTTTATATTACATCTATTATCTTGGGTAAAAAGTGTGCATTAGAAAAATTACCCATTTTGTCCTGTAGAATGTACTACACAAAAATTAAAATGATTGAAACTTATGCTATAGTAAACTAGAAGTTTAATGATAATTTTAATATTAGCAATGACTAATTAAGCCATCCCGAATCAATAATGATGTGAAAAATTATTAAAAATTCATGTGGTCATCCATTGAAAAGCTTGAACATTTTTCAATCTAATAAATTATCATGTATTCAATCTAATAAATTATCATGTATTGCATGTTCTTAAGCTAGATTAATTATAAAACTATCACCAACTAAAATTCAGATTGAATCCCTTACATTTTTTTGAACGTATTCATAGTGATATACATGGACCTATACATCCATCATGTGGACCTTTTATATTATTTATGGTTTTAATCGATGTATCGACAAGATGGTCACTTGTGTGCTTATTATCAACTCACAATTTGGCATTTACAAGATTACTTGCGCAAATAATTTGTTTGTGAGTACATTTTTCTGATACACAATCAAGACAATTCATTTTGACAATGCAGGTGAATTTACATCTCAAGCTTTTAATGAATATTACATGTCAATTGGAATAAATGTTGAACAATCTGTTACTCATGTCCATACACAAAACGGTCTAGCAAAATCATTTATTAAACTCCTCAGACCGATTTCAAGGCCATTATTTATGAAATCTAAACCCCCCAAGCAAATGTAATTTTACATGCAGTAGCACTTGTGCGCATCAGGTCAATGAGTTATCATAATTCTTTCCTATACAATTAGTTTATGGTTAGGAACAAAATATTTCCCATCGATGAATTTTTGGATGTGTGGTATATGATCCAATTATTCCACCACAATGCACAAAGATAGGTCCTCATAGAAGGTTAGGAATATATGTTAGATATGAATCTCCATCTATAATTAAATATCTAGAACCCTTAATAGGAGATTTATTCATTGCAAGGTTTGCTAATTGCCATTTTAATAAAATAAATTTTTCAACATTAAAGGGAGAAAATAAGCAGCTGAAAAAAGAAATATCTTGTTATGCATTATCAGTATCTAGTTTTGACCATCGTACAAACCAATGTGAACAAGAAGTTCAAAAAATAATTCATTTGCAAAATATAGCAAATCAACTGCCAAATGCATTTACCGACCTAAAGAAAGTAACTAAGTCTCATATACCAACTGCAAATGCTCCAACCAGAATTAATAGAGGATAATCTGCTATTGCTAATAAGCATAAGACATGCCAAAACTGTGGAAGATCAATCAGTTCCAAATATTAAAATCCTAAAAAAAAAGGAGCAACTATTCAATATGATTAAGAAGAGGAAACAAAAACTCCTAAAAAGACCTCTAACATAATTACAGAAGAAATTCAAATACCTCAAATCAAAAAAAATGAAGAGAACTCAATAAATTATGTTATGACAGGAAAAGATGGAACTGGAATGAAATAAAAGTCGATGATATTTTTGCATAAAATGTAATGCTCAATCTTATAAAAGAAAATGAGGATCTTGAATATACATTTGTTGAATAATTTAAATATAGAAATGATTGGCCAATGTGGAAAAATACAATCAAAATGGAATTAAATTTACTTGCAAAACGTGAAGTTTTTAGACCTATAGTCCATACACCAAATGGTGTAAAACCAGTGAGATATAAATGAGTATTTATGCATAAACAAAATGAGATGGATGACATTGTGAGATACAAAGCACGGCTTATTGCATAAGGTTTTATCCAAAAACCTGGTATTGATTTTGAAGAGACATATTCTCATGTGGTGGATGTAATTACATCTTGATATTTAATTAGTTTGGCAATATATGAAAACCTTGAAATGCATCTAATGGATGTAGTTACAGCCTATTTATATAGCTTACTGGATAATGATACCTATATGAAAATCCTCGAAGAATTTAAGTTGCCTAAAGCACACAATTTGAATTCTTAAAAAATTTATTCGATTAAATTAAATAAATCTTTATATGGATTAAAACAATCAGGGATGCATGTAGTATAATCGTCTTAGTGAATATTTGTTGAAAGAAGGCTGTAAAAATGGTTTTATATGCCCATGTGTTTTTATAAAAAAATTCAAATCGAAATTTTTGATAATTGTTATTTATGTTCATTACCTAAACATTATTGAAACTCTTGAAGAGTCATCAAAAGTTGTGGATTATTTAAAGAAAGAATTTGAGATAAAAAATTTTGAAAAAATAAAATTTTGTTTAGGTCTTCAAATTGAACACTTGACAAATGAAATTTTTATCCATTAATCTAATTATCTAGCAAAAGTGCTAAAATGATTTTATTTAGGCAAAGCACATTCGTTGAGTTCACCAATGGTTATAAAGTCCCTAAATGTAAAAGAAGACCCTTTCAAACCTCGTGAGGCTAATGAAGAACTTTTTGATCTTGAAGTCTCATATCTTAGTACAATTAGAGCACTGATGTATCATGCTAGCAATACATGACCTAACATATCATTTATTGTGAATTTATTAGCAAGATATAGTTCTTATCCAACTCGAAGACATTGGAATGAAATTAAACATATTCTTTGATATCTCCAAGGAACAATGATATGGGCTTATATTATTCAAATGCATTAAAATTATATTTAATTGGTTACGTAGATCAAAATATTTATTTAATCCACACAAAACTCAATCCCAAATAGGTTATTTATTCACATATGGAAGTACGGCTATTTCATGGCGTTCTATAAAACAAACTATAGTTGCTATTTCTTTTAACTATGTAGAGCTTTTAACAATTCATGAGGCAAGTCATATATGTGTTTGGTTAAGATCTGTAACTCAATATATTTGAGAAACGTGTGGCTTGTCAACCAAGAAAGAATTCTAACAATATTATACAAGGATAACGTTGCTTGCATAGCACAATTAAAGAAATAATACATTAAAGGCGATCGAACAAAACATATTTCATCAAAATTCTTTTTCACTCATGAACTTTAATAAAATGATGATATTAGTGTTTAACAAATTTGTTCAAGTGACCATCTAGCAAATTTGTTCACTAAAGCCCCTTTTTATTGCAACATTTGAAAAGTTGATATAAAATATCAGAATCCACTGCTTTAAAGATATTAAATAATGTAATCATCAGGGAGAATAAAATACAAATTGTACTCTTTTCTTTCATCAAGGTTTTTCGCACTGAATTTTTCTTGATAAAGTTTTTAATGAGGCAGCATTTCAAAAGCGTATTCTTCAAAAAAATTATGTACTCTTTTTCTTTTAGTGAGATTTTTTCTCATGAGGTTTTTTTCTTGTAAAGTTTTAACAGAGTATATTCTTAATACAATGGATATTCAAAGATGAGTGTTATAAATACTTTTGTAAATATCCATTTATGTATCTATATCCAGATTTGAATGTAAATTAGATTATATGAACATTAGGATTTAATCTATCTAGTCCCTTAGTTTTTTTTTTATCTTCTAAATTCTATCGAAATAAAAAGTTGATTGTCTATAAATAGACCCCTCATTTCATTTGTAAACACACACTTCAATAGCATCTTCTTTCTTCCTCTAAATACTTTTTTTCTTCTCTTTTTTAAGTTATCCTTTCAAATTATCTTTATTTGTTTTTTTTAAATTATATTTTCATAACAAAAATGAAAAATTCACGTCAACATCACATGGCATCATCTTACATGTCAATACCATGTTAGTGCCATATCAATATTATTAACAATCAATCTGGATGAAGTTACTTATATGAACCTAATTGCACCTAAAGTATAAAGGTTAAATTAATCAAGTTTTAGATAGAATAATTAAATTGAACAAAATGCTATAATGCAGGACTTCGTATTTGTTTTGATCAATAAAAATATAACTATAGACCAAGAATCCCCGTGACAAAGGAAAGAGCTCTTTTTTGGGCCTAACTTTTTCATCCTTTCTCAAAAGGCCGATAAATTAACTTATCGAGTCTCTAGTCTCTCAATTGCTTACTACGAAACCACACAGCCAAATTTGAGTGATTGGGTTCGTAAAATTCCTAACCCAAGTCCAGGAATGGCAGCCCTAATTGACCACTTGGGCTTCGTTCATTGTCCATCTTTTGGTTGTTTGTTTCATTTTATCCTTCGATTTTTTCTGATGTAGAGAACATCCATATTTCAATAAGATTTGTGTGATTTAATTTCTAAAGTAAATGGAATAGACAGAAAGTTTCATTGAATATATTGAAACACAGATTGACAACAGCGGAGATGTCATCTCCACACATAGATAAACAAACAAATATGTAGAAAAAAGACACGAGCCAAGAAAAACCCCCAACTCTCGACAGAAGGAAAACAAAAATTATAACAAATGATTTAGAAAACCAAAATTTCTACGAGTACAAATATAAAGGTCCAAGAGGGGAATAACGTTCTTCCACTACGCAACTACTGGTTTCGCTGCATTCTGGGTTGCCTTGAAATCTTTCACGCCGTTTGAAAGGTGAAACGATGCTTTCTCAAAATTAACAAATCCCATCAACCAGAAATCATGACCATCGACGGTAACAATCTGGATGTACTTCTCCGGTGGATTTTCCTTCATGACCACAGGATTAACCGTGCCTATATTCGCCCAAGGTATCATAATCTGTTCAAGACAGTCTTGTTGTTCAGGTCATTACCAATTAATGCAAAATTTAACTAAATTTAGTTAGTACTTGTTTGTTTAATTTGCTATTTAGAAGTCCTTCCCCAACTAATTAAGACAGCAATAATTTCAGTGATGCCCAATTGCCTACACTAGTGGTCCATTTATCATTGATCCTAAAGTGCATCTTACCTTGTAGTAGCTCCAAGTCTCCTGACCTGATGGAGCAGTGAAGGATAAGGGACGATCACTGCAGAAGGCTACCCGAGCAGTTGATAAATAGAGGGTTCCAGCAACAGGGCCAGTTGTTGTAGAGAGGTAACAGGCGAACGTCCTCTTCAACTTTTCATTTGGGTCAGTTCCAAAAATCTGCTTGAAGAGAGACTCAAACCCACCCTCTGTTATTGCTTTTGCTGTCAGGTTTACTTTACCCCATGCTGCTTCAGACACAGACGGTCCAGTTTTAACTGTAATTTCATTTATAGATGCATGTAAGAATCTAATCATGTAATTATTCAGATTTCGATGAAAAATGTTCACGAAAATTTAATTGGAAATGATCTAAGAGACACTTTCAATTACATAATAAACATCTGAGATAAAATTCATAGTTTCCAATATCAACTTACGGTTGTGCCAGATGTCGCGTGCTATGGTCTCGGCCTTTCTACTCCAGGAATTGAACATGTTAATCACAGGTTCAAAAGGATTGTGGCTTGGTTTTTCTGCAGGGGAATAAACGAGGTAGGGAAGCTCATAGATTTGCTGCTCACTGGCACGCCATAAAGCTGCCTTCTGGTTGTCAGGGTGAACAGCTGGGGCTGCTGGCGGCCCCATGACGTACGTGCCCCATTTCTTAGCGTCTTCTTCCGATGGTGGTGCCTGCATAGAAGGTTGATGAGGTTGTGATGCATCTGTTGTGGTGGAGGTTGGGGATGGCTCATGCGATCCTTCTACTCGAACGTTTTCTTCAGGTATTGTTGTCATGGTCTTGAACGGGAAATGGAGACTTATGACACAACTGGAAATTTTTTTGGCGGATTATTTTCTGATGGATTGTTGCTTAGAAAGCCGAAAGACTTGCAATATATAGAGGAGAATTCCAGAGCTGGGTGTTCAAAACACGGTGTTATTTCCTTTGCAACGAAGAACTATCTAGAAAAAGCCAGCTTTTAGATAAGCAAGAACGCCCTCAGCGGCAGGGTGTTTCCAGAAGGGGTATTTAAGTAAACGGATTTGTAAATTCAAGCACTCTTTGGCTCCTCGACCGCTTGTTATTATCAGGACAAAAACCAAGGAAGTTTCCAGCTTGTTGGGCTGTTTTACTATGCAGAGGGAATAGTCTTGTGCGGTGTTCTCTTCAAACCATGCATGAGATGAGGACTTGGGTCGAGCTTTTCATTTTTTTATTAAAAAACAAAACAAAAAGTAGCTTGGCAAGAGTTTTATTCTGCGCTTTATGATTGTACACGTAAATTTCGTGTCAAGATCAAGACAAGAAAAATTTAGAGGCAAATAACAACTGAAAATTCTTTAAAATGAAACAGTAATGAATAAAAATACACTTCCAAGGTCTGGATGACTTGTCTAATATTTGTATTCTTCAAAAGTTTTTCACTTTTGAAAATTTTTTATATTAGAAGACTAATAGGTTGGAACTCTTAACAAAATTTCAGATCTTCCTACTTTCTTGAACTTGCGGAGTTTTGGATCCTTTTGTTCTTTAGAATCCTTTTCTTTCCTAACTGTGTGTCAAATGCTTTTTAACTGTGTGTCGAATGACTTGGAAGAGCAATATATTTATAGTGCTAAGAGTCTATAACTCTTATGAAAACTGTTTGGTTTGATTTTTTTTTTTTGGTTTGAAAGTTATTATAAAATTGTTATAAAAATTAATAATTTTTAAAATTAAGTTAAAACTATTTAATAAATTTTTTTTTATAAATTCTTTTTTATAGATAAACTGTTTGGAAGAATAACTTATATAAGCTCTAATTTTTATTAAAATTACCATAAAATGTATTTAATAAATAACTTTATATTAATAACGAATTCCTTTGTTTACAATGAAAAAAAGTTAACTTTATTTTTTTATCTATTTAAGCTAAATTTTTAAAAATATAAAAAGTATTTTTTATATAACATAAAATTTATAATTAATAATAAATCATAAAAAAATAATTCCATAAATAATTTATGAGTAACATATAATTTATAAATATCTTATAAATTAACGATTTCTATTTTTCATCAATGCAACAGCTATTTGGTTGTGAACTCTACCCATGTTACTGTCATCCAATGCTCTTCTATAAGTATATGAACTCATTTCTTCATTATTATTAATAATCTCTTTTTTTCTTTTTTTTACCCATGTAACGATTTCTATTTTTCCTTTTCCTTTTTAGTAGTCTGTGCAAAGAGACGTAGAGGAAATGGAGATTACAGTTTGTGTTGGAGAAGGGTGACTTGCAGAGAGAGAGAAAAGAGAGGGAGATCGATTGAAAGGGAGGTATTTTTTGAGAGGTTAATGTTGAGATTATATTTAATAGTTGAGGACATTTTTGGAAAAAAAAAATTCTCCTGAAAAGCTAACATATTTTTAAATAAAGAGAAGAGAAAGCTCCTCTCTAGAGTTTCTCTTGAAATTTTTTTTTTAAATTTTGTTCTTTAAAAAAATTTATTTTTTTAAAGGTTTTTAAAATCTTGTTTGGCTTGACTTCTGTTTTTAACAGATAAATAAGTTGAGAAAAAACTAAGCCTAATAGACACTAAATGAGAGACTTCCATGAGAATTTAATCTCATTGGTTTATCTTTAAATTATTTTAATTTAATTAAAGATAAAAAATAATGACTCATAGATGGTCTTTTGATTGGTCATATTCCAAGTTTTTAAATTTTGATTGGATATATTTGATTTTTAGCTCTAAATTATCTTAATTTTTTTAAAGATAAAATGGATGTCCCATAAGTGAATTTTAATTCGTCTAATTGTGAGTCTTTAAGATTTAATTTGTCAAATCATGTGTTTTTATCTTACTTTAGGTAATAGAATAAATTATTTGCAATTAATTACATGGCTAACTTAAATGATGTCATCAAGTCCACATGGTGATATATGATTCATCTTTGAAAAATTCTTCAATTTACTAATTTCGAAAAACATGTAGTATCTTGTAATTGCATAAAATATTTCTCCTTCTACAAATGCCCTTTCAAGACTTGTTCACATAAGATGAATCCAACAAGTGGACAAAACTTGAAATTCAATTTTATTTTGGCACCATGTTTGCTTGCACTCTATTTGGTTCGAGCTTTTAATCAATGAAAAAAAAAAGGCATACTATTTAAAAAAGTATCTAAGCTATTCAAGAAAATTCAAATAAGTCTTTATTTTTATTGTGTTCAATCAAGACCTTTTATTTTTATTTTATATCAAATAAGCCCTTATGACTAATGGTTTACTTAGTTAAAATGTCACTTGTCATTTAATGCTATAAAATGCTGATGTGATACTAATATGACATGTTGATACATCATAATGGTTTATTTTGGCCCATATAGACATAAAATGACTATGAACATTTTGATTAATGACAATTAGCTAATTATTAGTCATAATAGTTTATTTAACTCAAAATAAAAATATAAAGGCTTGATTGAATGCAATAAAAGAATAAAGACTTATTTCAATTTTCTTGAATAGTTCAAGAACTTTTTTGAGTATTATGCTAAAAAACAAATTATTTTCCTAGGTATTTTGGAATCCTAATGTGCCTTGGTTTAACCATGGAAAATTTTGAATTCAATTTTAATTTGAATTATGCTTAGCCTACTTATAGGCGATAGAATTATTGTCTTGGCAGAAACATCTTACCATAGAGTAATAATCTTGGAAGAGTTATCTTGCAATTGGTAGCACACTCCGTAATCAATTAAGAGTAGGACTTTTACTCTATAAAAGAGTTCTTTTGCCAATTTTCTTCATACCAAAATATCAAGAAATCACCAAGAACAAATTAAATTTTTTGCCCATACTAGAAGTGTTCATAGTCATCATGTAAAATTACTAACTTCCATTTTGAAATTTTCCTTTGCTTGCATGTTATTGACATAATTGAACCAAAATAATCCATAGCCCATCTTCTTTCAACAATCGGAATCTTTGATCTCTTTTCTCTTTTAATGATTTGTGTATCATGCACATAAGCCATATGACACGGTAAAAACACATCTTCATTAAATACATTAAAGACAAGCATTCTCCGCATGGTAAATAGACACATATTAATTTGACATAGCCTTTTCTAGAATGTTAACTTTCTTTCTAAAAATAGAGATAAGATTATCACTGATAATAAGATACTTATTATCTTTCCAGTGTCCACTCTGCTACTTGCTTGTTTGATGCAATATAGCCATTATTATAGAGCCTTACAATATTCATTGATTTGGAAGATAATTTAGCTTTTCTCAAGAGAATTATGGAGTTCTTAGGATCAATATTTGGAAACACTTTTATGTTTAACCTTTGTGTTGATCACAAATTAAGCTTCAAAGAAATTCAACTTAAAGAAGCAATATGCTTCACTTAAAATTTGATGGCTTGATCATGAAATTTCAAAAGAAGTACAACTTGATTTACTCTTCAAGTATCATTATCATCTTGGTAATTTCATTATCACACTTATATTTCAAGTGAAAAGATTTGGATCATTAATTCTTAAACTAAAAAATTTTCTTTTGGATTTGACTAAACTTGGCAATGAGATCAAGAGGCCTTCATACTTCCAAATAATAAGGATCAAGTCAAAACGTAGCTCATCATTTTTTTTATGCTTCTTTTTGTTTTTAGTGCCTTAACATTTTGCCTAATTTTGTCAATTACAAGATTTTCAACCTTAAAACACTTTTTTTCGGTGTACTAACTTTTGCTTAAGTTCTCTTTTACAAGATTTTCAACATGATCGGCTTTTATTAGGGTCAGTTTAGGTTCTTACCTAGGAGTGTGTGATCTTCAAGCTTACTAGTGCTTCAAGAACTTGTTGTTGATAAGGCAATATTCTTGAGATTTTGCACCACTTTTATAAGTACATGATTAGATGTGTGGATCTTCATTTCTTCAAGTCTTTCTTTCTATGTAGATAAAACTTTTTTAGTCAAATGCTTTATATGTTTCTTGGCCTTTAATGCTCCACTAGTTGTTACAACCCATTTGCTTTGTCTCTTCATTGGAGAAGTGATTGTCATAATCCTTTTACTCATCTAACATGAATCTTTTTCTTTTATGCTTTTGTGAGAACTTTTTGAAGTTTAGTGTAACACCCCTGATTTTTTATATGACTTATATCTGAAATTGGCCAAGTGACTTAAAAGAGTTATTTAAGTTTTGATGAATATGATTATGTCTAGAGATAAATAACTATGAATGTGGGGGGTCAATTAAAAGCCTTAATGAAATTGTGTGAATGTTTGACACTTTGACATTTAAGTATGACATTAAGGTAAATATCAATGAAAATGATAATTTAATTGTATAGATTGAGGATTTGATTTAATTTAATGCATGTTTGAGGACATATATATGAGGATTTTGAATCATATGAGTTACTTGAGGTATAAGATTAATAGGAAATGGAATTTTGGTGTTAAGTTGGATTTTTGGTAATTAAAAAAAGCTTGAAACTATTTACACGAGAAAACGTATCGATACATTGCCAAATGTATTGATACATTCATGATAAGATGAACAATGCAAGGCCCACAAGAGGAATTGTATCGATACATTCAAGAATGTATCGATAAATTAGGTTAAAGATAAACATGCATCGATACATTTGTTGGGATGAGCCCTGCAGCCAATTAAAATTGGTTAAAGCTTGATTCTAATCATGCAACAACATCATTCATGTTGAATGATTAAAAGTTTTCCTTCTTCAATAAGACATCAATTATAATAAGTTATAAGTCTAATTAAATAAAGTCTATTAGATTAATATGCTTACAAGGGAACTGTAATGGGTTGTAGTTATGAGATCTTTATGCATCAAAGCGTAATCTCAAAATGTTCTTGGTCAATATATCATTGA